TATTGATGATATACTTACTGATAATAAAATAAGTTTTCCCCATATTAGTTATATAATTATTGTCCATTGTAATTTAATTAATACATTGTAATATATATAAAGATTGAACTACATAATGTACCTTTTTTTCAATTTTACGTTTTTATTATTATTATTGATGATATACTTACTGATAATAAAATAAGTTTTCCCCATATTAGTTATATAATTATTGTCCATTGTAATTTAATTAATACATTGTAATATATATAAAGATTGAACTACATAATGTACCTTTTTTTCAATTTTACGTTTTTATTATTATTATTGATGATATACTTACTGATAATAAAATAAGTTTTCCCCATATTAGTTATATAATTATTGTCCATTGTAATTTAATTAATACATTGTAATATATATAAAGATTGAACTACATAATGTACCTTTTTTTCAATTTTACGTTTTTATTATTATTATTGATGATATACTTACTGATAATAAAATAAGTTTTCCCCATATTAGTTATATAATTATTGTCCATTGTAATTTAATTAATACATTGTAATATATATAAAGATTGAACTACATAATGTACCTTTTTTTCAATTTTACGTTTTTATTATTATTATTGATGATATACTTACTGATAATAAAATAAGTTTTCCCCATATTAGTTATATAATTATTGTCCATTGTAATTTAATTAATACATTGTAATATATATAAAGATTGAACTACATAATGTACCTTTTTTTCAATTTTACGTTTTTATTATTATTATTGATGATATACTTACTGATAATAAAATAAGTTTTCCCCATATTAGTTATATAATTATTGTCCATTGTAATTTAATTAATACATTGTAATATATATAAAGATTGAACTACATAATGTACCTTTTTTTCAATTTTACGTTTTTATTATTATTATTGATGATATACTTACTGATAATAAAATAAGTTTTCCCCATATTAGTTATATAATTATTGTCCATTGTAATTTAATTAATACATTGTAATATATATAAAGATTGAACTACATAATGTACCTTTTTTTCAATTTTACGTTTTTATTATTATTATTGATGATATACTTACTGATAATAAAATAAGTTTTCCCCATATTAGTTATATAATTATTGTCCATTGTAATTTAATTAATACATTGTAATATATATAAAGATTGAACTACATAATGTACCTTTTTTTCAATTTTACGTTTTTATTATTATTATTGATGATATACTTACTGATAATAAAATAAGTTTTCCCCATATTAGTTATATAATTATTGTCCATTGTAATTTAATTAATACATTGTAATATATATAAAGATTGAACTACATAATGTACCTTTTTTTCAATTTTACGTTTTTATTATTATTATTGATGATATACTTACTGATAATAAAATAAGTTTTCCCCATATTAGTTATATAATTATTGTCCATTGTAATTTAATTAATACATTGTAATATATATAAAGATTGAACTACATAATGTACCTTTTTTTCAATTTTACGTTTTTATTATTATTATTGATGATATACTTACTGATAATAAAATAAGTTTTCCCCATATTAGTTATATAATTATTGTCCATTGTAATTTAATTAATACATTGTAATATATATAAAGATTGAACTACATAATGTACCTTTTTTTCAATTTTACGTTTTTATTATTATTATTGATGATATACTTACTGATAATAAAATAAGTTTTCCCCATATTAGTTATATAATTATTGTCCATTGTAATTTAATTAATACATTGTAATTTATATATATAAAGATTGAGCTACATAAATAACACCTACCAATGTACCATTTGTTTGTATTTATTTTACGTTTTTTTATTATTTTTGATGCTTTTGTCCTACAAATTTATAAAGTTATTGCAAAAAGAAAAAAAAGTAATACAAAATTATATTGACAAATTGTTAGTAAAAACAAAACAAAAATAATAGTTTTTTTTTTGTGTAAGTAAAATTATATATGTATAATTATAAGTAAAATACATTTTAAAGACCAAAGGAGTCTAAATAATAATAAAAGTATAATGTAAAGTGGGTAATTCATATTAAGGCTCATGACAAACGGCGTCTAAACGCTAGACACCTAAAACCGCGTCTAAAAAATCGCTTTTAGTGTTTGATGGCATACTAGGAGTCAAAATGCTCCTCTCCCGCCTTCAACCAATACCTTACGTAAAAAGATTAATTAATTAAAAAAGTTATTTGGTCAATCGGACACGAAATATAGTGAATTTATATTTATTTCTAACGTAAATAATGTATTTCTAAAAAGTATCCAAATATATACATAAACACATATACATATAGCGAGGACGGCCGGACCTTGGTTTGTCTTTAATAGATAGAGTATCTTTGAAGCGATTTATGGTGCGCCACACAAACATTCGATTTATTCCTAACGATTTCAGTGTCTTGAAAATATCTGATTTTGATTTACCTGCCTTGTGCAGTACGATGATGGCATGACGGTTTTGTTCAAGGGTGCGTTCCATCTTGACGTTATTAATTCTCAATAACAACTGAGTAAAAGAATTTAGCATTATATCAAAGGTAAACAATAGGCAAGATAGCAAGGTTTGCCAGGCGTTTGTTTGGGATTATTTTCAAGGTGAATGATTGTAACAGAACTTATGGCAGGACTAGGTACATACAAAAGAACCATTTAGGAGAAGAATTGCTGACATCAACTTTTGCTATTGTGAATTCGAAGAGTTGATAGTTCTGTAAACTTTGCGCTTTAAGAGTCTCTACAAAACATAATCTACGGGTGTCAAAACTATTTTGCCGTCAAATATAACCACGCATTTCTTATCCCAAAAATTTTCTTAATATCCTGTGATGCACTTATGCACCTTAAAATAAACTAATGGAAATATCAATGGAGGACGTAGACAATGGAGCCTGCGTAAGGTTTCCGTATAATGTCCGGCAGAAAGGTTGCTCGATATGTCCCACATAATTAAAAGGTGTCATTCCTTAGCTCCACATAGAGAATGTGTTGGATTGCCACCTCATAAAAGATTCGTGCTGGAGTAAATCAGTGACAGTTTGAGTTCCCTGTTCCGATTTTCGGAGAAAATTGTTTTCTTGTATATAGTGCTGATAGATGTCTCATTGTATTTATTTGTTTGTTGAGGGGGATTGTATTTATTAGTGTGAATGTGGGTTCTGCCTTCTTAATTAGATTAGCTCTACAGTATGTATAATGGATGATAAGTAATATTGAGTACTTCATCATACTCGTTGTGTGAATCGTATGCTAATAAGAAATAATGTGAGTGTGAATGCGGTGTAGGCTGAAATGTCCTAGTCGTTGACAACCCTCGAGCCCAACTTCGGCGGCGGAACGTTTACACTCTCGCTTTTGTTATTACCACCGTTTTCGGTTAATTGACAGGAAAACGGTTAATTGACTAACTTTTATTAAAAAACTGGCAAAAAAGTAATATCTCTCTTAACAAAGTGTCATGTATATATAGCATATATATAGTCTTTTCTCAATACCCAGAATAACTAAATAAACTGATTTCACGCAGAGCTCTCTTTTCAAATCTAATCTTAAGGATATGACTGTGGGACGGTCAGGCCTCAGCCAGGTTAAACTAAAGTATTTTTGGCATGGAATATTGATATTTTAAATTGCCATTTTGGGATCGTGATATGTTTTCTGACGTTTTATATTGTTGTACTTTTAATTATGAATGTAGTATCATTCTTTCAGGTCATTTAAGAAGAAGAAGAACAATAATTTATTCTGGGACAATGAAAAGTTAATAACATTTTGCCACAAAAATAAACCTTGTTGCGGTGAACAACGCAATAGCAATGGACTAATAGACCCTATTTGGAGGGAGAGGATGTACAGGAGATGTTTAAAAGAGGTAAGGGAAGCGTCTTTGCGGATAGTTAGAGGGAGGGAGGTCCAGAATTTTGGTGCTCGGACGAGAAAAACCGTTTAAAGGTGCTTGTTTTATGCTAAAAGGATTAGGTCACAGGGAGATGAGCGGGTATTTGCAGGAGTGGAATGAGGATTTAAGTTTACTAATATTTTACGCAGGAAGAAAATCAAACAGTAATACTTGTTAATCATTTTTGAAAAAATCTCACGAGTTGGTGTTTTTGTATTAGAAAGCGGGCGATGATTTTGCACCATGCAGCGATTTCAAAACGGACAAAAGATATGCAAAACGCATTCATATAGAGTAGCCTTCCTTTTTACCCTAGAGATATTTTAAAACGAGCTTTTCACTTTTCTTTAGTAGGAGTTAGTCAACAAGGGAGAAAACGAAAAGCCCAGTCACCTTAGTTGGAGACAATAAGATGAAATGTAAACTAAATCCGACCGGAAATTGGCCGCGGGGCTTGGTGATGGGCGCAACGTGGGCAATTCATAACGTAGAACAATGGGCTCGCCTCTCTTTGTTTGACTTGTCAACCGCTTCTCCTCTTATTTGTCTAGCCAGTAGCTACACTCTATTCAAACTAAAAATTAACTAACATTTTATATATCTAGCCCTATATTGTAAATGCTGTAGCTTTCAATGGGGGTGAAAATATCCTAGTTTACTCTACGCGAAGGCAGAACGAGACGAAAAGGCGTTTCGAAACGGTTTTACTGGCACATTTCGACCAGATGATAATATATCTTTTAACAAGCTTAGTTTTGTAACACACCTCGTTCTCCTTTCGAAGAGATAACTGGTTATTTATAGCTTTACCAAGAGCAATAGTTCTTTTCTTTCTTTTACTATAGTTCATTCACTTTCGAATTTCTTCTCTGTTTGTCCAAGCATCACGATCTTCTCGGGAAAATATTCCTGTTCGACGCCGTTGTTAATCGTAAAAAAGCTGCTTAAATTTAACTACCTGTAATAAAAGCATTCTGTTCGGGTAATATAAGTTTAAACTCAGTTTATTGCATCAAGATTGAAACAATCAGGTTTTTTTTTACTTATGTTTAAAAATGTTTGTACATTTATATCTTAATTCACTATAATAATTCACATTCTATTTTACCAGAAAATTTATTAATTACTTGGACTAAATACGTAATAAAATTTGTATTATATATTTAAAAAAATAGTGAGTAAAGAACAAAAAAAAAATAAAATGAAAATGTAAAAAAGTTTTTGCCCCCTCCAATACCAATATTTACACCTCTGGCACGAATCACGTCCTTTAAAAACCTTTCCATTCCTTGGAAAATATTTGTGATAAAATTCTGAAGAATTATTTCCCATTCATCGAGGACAGCGGTTACCAAATCTTGTAGGGTGTTAGGACTTGAGATGTGCCGTCGTACGAATCGTTTAAGTAGGTCCCAAATGTGTTCGATTGGGTTCAAATGTAGAGCTGTCTATGCCACACCAAGCACTCAATTCCAACCTCATTCAGGTATTCATCCACAATACGTGTTATTTCGCCATTATCTTGCATTAGCAAAAATCTCTCGCCGATGTGGTGGGGGGCAAATGTTCCTAGATTATATCTTGTAAGAACCTCTGTGAGGTTAGAGATCTTCCGCGCACAACAACCAATTCGCTGCGGGCGTCCAAGGAAATGCCACCTCAGACCATCAATGATCCACAGGGGAATGTCACCTGAAGAAATATATAGCATAAGAAATTACACCCAACTGAAGATTTGGAGCTAACTCTCACCTCACCTGTAAAGAGCACTCGTCCCCTAATCTTCAAATGTCCAATTCACATGTTCCCACGCGGATTGAATCCTGGCCAGTTTTTGAGTTTTGGGAAGAACAAGTCCACGAAGCGGGTGCCGGGCCCTAAGGGTATTTTCATTGAGCCTTCTTCTTACAGTCCTGGACGCACTTGTCTTATAAGTTTTGTTATCTCGTTTCCCATAATTCCTCGGTTTCGTAGAGCCTGATGAATCTGTATCTGTTTCTCTCGTCCGTAGACCTAGGTCCCTCCCCTCCCTATTGTAGTGATTTATAATCAGTCTTGTGGCAACTTGGCGCTGGCTGTATACTTCCTGTAATAATGTTATGATCTTTACACTGTAATACTCGCTCAAATGCCTGACTGGAAACATTGAAAAAGGTAATAATAAGAATAATATCAAATGAAACAACGAAGGAAAATAATTAACTTACAAGATTTTTAGACGTATCAAAATTGAAAGGCATAATGCTACTTTTTGTGCAGATTGGCTTAATCAGTACAAACGTAAATAAAGGAAGTAAACAATCCATTATTTACTGTTTATTTTGACTACGATAGCTAATAATTACCTATAAATAATGGATTTAATTTGAAACTAAATAAATTGAGTAGTGCGTTAAATTTTTCCATCAGCGTAAGACTCTCGGCTCGTAGACTCCGCGGTCGTGGGTTCAATCCCCGCCGTCGCCTCTGGCCTATCTTTTCCCCCCAAAACGAATACGCATAATAACATTGTCATTGGTTAATATGCACAGAACATAAAGCCATAAAAAAAACCATAACATCATAAACATAAACGCCCGAATTCCTTATATGGGTTAACATCACAATTTATTTAAATTTTTTTTTTCGAATTTCATTATCATCAAAAATAAGATTAATCGTAAGGTATCGATTTAAGGCTGTTAGTGGTGAGAGGGGATTGAAACAATTACATCGTCCTTGCATGAATTAGATGCCGGTGTTAATTGGAAATGTGCTTGCTTCTCATATCAAAAAGAGGGGAATTATTTCGAGAGGCAACTCATTTGTAGACAGACTTCCACGGTAGGTAGGTGTTGATGACTTTATTACCTTATCGTGAAAGGGACGTTAATTACCTTCAACACTTTAACGCCGTTGTAAATAGTTTTACAACTTACGACCGCAAAACACGGACGCTCGGTTAGTCTAGTTTAGGCCATAAAACAATAATTTGAATCCCTAAGTTCAAAAGTTACGGGTGGGGGAAAAATAAAAATATCAATTTTATAGCAAAATGAATAAACAGGACAGCAGCTTTCGGATTACGCTGTAATAGTTTCAAAAGGTTCTGCTCTACAATATTAAAGGAAGAATCCCTGATTTTATTATATTTACCCTCATTATCGCAAGTCTGATTAATATAGCTTTTGGTTAAACAGTGCTGTTGTATTTTAATACGCAGTAAACGTGCAAAACGAGAGAATTAGCAAACCTGTGTAATAAATAGTCAGTCGTCAGTAATGTTTAATGTATGTTTATATTCAAAATGAAATCAAAGATTACAAGTAAAATCGGACAGGCTGTCCGTTCGGTGCATGACTTTTCAATTTATTTGCTTACTCTCTCTCTCACACACACCCGCACTCACTTTCTCTCTCTCTCTCTCTCTCTCTCTCTCTATCTCTCTCTCTCTCTCTCTAGCTCCTAGCAACTAATTATGTTTTATCTATGTCGTCCGAATAACAAAATCTCATCCTCCTATAGGCGCCATTTTGATTTCTCCCTGCTCAGGTCGGCTGACACAATTACTTTTGCAACTGCTTTAAACGGAAAAAGTCTTTGGGTTCGGCTAAAAGCTTTCTCTTTCTACTTTTTGTGGACCAAAATTTTGTTTTGCAAACGCCTGAATGAGGGCAGCAGCACTTTATCTCGCTTCCTGTTTGGATGTTATTTATCTTCTCTGCACTGTATATTCTCCTCAGTTCTGTAGCCGAGTCTTCATTGAGCAAGTCCCTGTCTGACAGTTCCTCACTGAAGATAAGGAGAATCCGAAACGTGTTTGAGTAACATCAAAAACCCGCTAGGGTGGATAGAACTGACTCAGTGCCTGTTCAGCATACGTCACCGATTCGCAGAACAACACCCATTATGAATTTTAATCTCATTGGTTTATAATATTAGCATTGTCGCCATCAAATCTATATTACATAGATATATGTACATATTTGTGACTACTATATTAATATATAACAACATATATTTTTGTTGCAGATGAAATTCGTTTAATCAATAGCAAAAAAGAAGCTGGATCAGTTATAATTTTTCATTATAATTTTAAATGTTGATTACACTAAGTATGGATTTATCTTTATTGCACAAATGGAAGGTGTGAATTTTTATGCGAAGGATCCTCAAGAAATCGTTGTGCAGGAAGGAAAAGTGGTTTATTTCATTGCGACCCACATACGTCCCCTTTAAGTTCTTGGATGATCGCAGCAAGGCAAACTGGTTCCAGATCTATCACTATTCTTGGTCATCAGACGCCTTCTCAGACGGCATATTTTCACTGACGGGCTCAATTCTTTCCCCCATCTCCTTAAACGACGGTTCTCGACCCTAGCCGAATCATGGGAAAATATTTCAAATTGAATTGTTAGAATAGGACGATTCTTATTTTCCGTTAATTAAATTTGGACGTAAGGCGATATTTCAGGGCTGAAAATATACAATTTCAATTGGAACTTTGTTGACAGAAATATTCGTCTTGTAAACAACTTTCACTTTCGTTATTCCTGGATATTTACCTACTTCAGGGAATAAACAGTTCAGTTTTGGAAACGTCTGTT